TTTTTTTTTTCCTCTCGTGTGATTATTGACCTTCATTCATCCTATATGCATTGGTATGATAATGTTACTGGAACAAGTGTTATAGTTTATCCTGTTATGTGATCCGCCATATTGGTTACCAAAATATCTGGTAATAATAAAAGGTAGTGATTAAAGCCATATATACACGAAGGAGTGAGAAGACGATTCAATTCTTTTAATTATGAAAAAGCAAAGTATGGCCATCTATCTGTATCTATTTGGGGCTAGCAGGGCTAGAAGGATTTAGCCGTTGGTTTTGGATATAACATGCTGTGGGGAATTATTATTTCAGCATGTGCCACTTCTGTAATAGCAGGTAGTGCAGGGATTTCTTGAGGGATTCATGGAATGATGGAAATGGGATTTCGGCCGCATACCTATTTATTTCAATGTCCACTTTGGGCAAAGATCTCACTTGCAATTTTGTTGTGCGGCTTTTTGTGCTTTCTTTTCTATCTCTTCATGCTGTAATTGTTAAATCTTGGATTTACTAATTATCATATTTATATTGAAGCTATTATCCACTTTCTCATATGGCGTTCTTACAGAGGAGAGATGATGACTGTAGGATTGTGACAGATATCCCTTAAATTCTTGGATTGAATTCGGCCTACCAGGACCTATTAGTTGAGTATTTGTAATCTTTACAGGATCTGCATATGCCCTAAGTCTGATCTGTCATTTGTTTCTGATCAAGTTTCTAAGGCAAGCATTTTGGTTTTCTAGGAACACAGGTTTCAAAAACCAAAATTCACCGGTCCCTCCTTTAAGGCACAAACAAATGAAACAAAATTGCTCAAGATTTCTTTATTGTTTTACTCATCTTGGCAATCAAATTTGCAATTAAAGTTATAATATTGAGCAGATCAAATGCAAATCAAAAGCATCTAATGCCTTGAATGTACGTGAATCCTTCTAATAATAGTCATTTGCCTTTCTGTATGAAAAAGAAGAGAGTTTTCAATTAATTACTCTTTCATTTGCAATTACCATTAATAAAAATTAAGAGCAATTATTAAGCCATATGGGCTTATATCTATTGAAGTCAGCAATTATACCTGGCCAACTATATGATGTTCTTTTATGGGTGAAAAGTATTGAATGATTGAAGATTTTTTTGCATGATAGGGACAACAAAGGCCAAGAACTACCAATATTGATAAACAGAGGTGTTTCGAAATTTTCATACAACAAATTGAATAATTATTTGATATTTGATGGAAACATTGAGATTGTATGTAAGGAAGTTGGATAACCAATATGTATATAATTTTGCGCTTGTGATGCTTACTGTTGATAGTTATTGTGACATGATGAAATTGGCTTTTAGAAAATCTATTTGACTACTTACGATTCAAGTAAAATAGAAAGTATGTTATATAGTAATTTTTTTCTTTAAGTGATATAATTGTTTTTGTATTTACTATTTGTGAATAAAGATTTTATTGGTAAGGTTTGATTTTTAGGAAGTACAAGGTTATTGAGATTGTGAGTTGAGATTTAGTTATAGGAAGGTAATTGTAGCATTTTGGTGCATAGATTACAATGATATTGTGTTGATAATTTGGAGTTGTGAAGATTATAATGAATTGAGATTATTACTTCTTCCGGTTCTATATCTAAGCTTCAAATAATTGAGTCATATTTAATGAACTAGCAGTTAAAATTAGTTAAAAGTAATAAATGAGTTAGAAATGTTTTTTTTTTAAATTTACCCTTATTTATTAAGAGAGTAAATAAGAAAAACAATAAATAAAAAAATGATGAAAGAGAATATATGAGGGTAATATTAATGAGAGGGAGGGAGTATGCAAAATAGGAAAAAGAATAATAAATATTTAGACAAACTCAAAAATGAAGTTTATATTTTGAATCAGACATTTTTTTAAAAATAAAACTTATATATAAAACTGGAGGGAGCAGTTACATTGAAGTAAATTCTTCCCGTGCATCGCACGGGGAGTCATTGTTAGTTATAATAATAACAAAATATAACTATATTAAGATTCTTCATTTTTAGAATTATTCAATCACAAAAATTAAAAATATTATATTTGGTATAAAAATATTTGGTTATAAAAAATATTTATATTAATTATAAAAATATTTTAATAAAAATGATATTTAGAAATTTTCTCTTTGTTTTTTAAACAGCACAAGTATTACATGTGTCTGCGCGCGCGTGCACGATATGCATCGCAGTATAGAAACTCCATCACTTGCCTTTTAGGCTTTTACCCGGACTTTCCTCCTATGTTTTTAATTTTATAATATGCATTTCTATATATATATATATAATGGAAGATAAAAAGAATCACACGTAAGGTTAAAAATTGTAAGGCCGTAAAAAACTGGGGAAAAAAAGAGAGTTATGCTAGGCCTGCGGTAGAGTCTCAGTACTAAGCATAGGCTCATTAATGCTTTACTCTGTCAACTCTTTTGCGCGCATTTCCACGAGACATCTGGTGCTTCGCATCGTCCACTAAAGCCAACACTTTTGCGCGCATAAAAAAGTGTCATAGTCGGGCTAATTATCGTATACTTTACACACACACACGCACAATCAATGATCAAGGAACATTTTAATAAAAATTTACTTTATTTTAATCATATTTAGCACATTTTTGGCAGTGACAAAATCATAATTATGTTGTGTGTAGCATAAGTCAGATAATTGCAATTTGTCTTCTATCTAATAATTACTCATATATGCAGACACAAAAGGACTGAACGCAATTGTGTGGCGCATCGGAAATAATTACACAACATTCTCAAATCTCAACCACGCACACACACATATATGGAAATGAACGTAACTTAAAATCATCAGATAACCATAGCCTACATTAGTGACCTTCATTTCATCAAACTTTTGGATGATCTAACTTAAAATGCTCGCCGCTTGACCTCTTCAACTTGCTGCTGTTTGATTAACTCCTTGATCCATCACTGCTTGTAAAACCTGCTTCTCTTTCTACAGCTTTTGTCGCTTTCCTGATCAGAACACTTTCCTTGCTTCTTCCTTCAATTTCGTCCACATCAATCCTCACTTCCTCTATGCCTTCCTCAACAGTAACCTCCTCATTTAGAGTCCCACCAAGCTTTTTCTTCTCTGCTTCGTTCAGCGACTCCATCAAAGACTCTAGCCCCAACATCACGTCGCACATGGATGGCCGTTCATTCCCATTATTAGCCTAGCATTTCAACGCAATCTCAGTGTATGCGTTTAAGCACTCTTCTGTTATACTTCCCCCCAAGTTTGGACCCACCGTCTCACAAATCTCATTTTGATCAACACATTTTCGAAACCACCCTACAAGGTTTTGCCGCTCCCTCTCCACGGCACAGAGAATAGGAGGCCTCCCACGTAATGCCTCTAGCAACACAACTCCAAATGAGTACAAGTCTGACTTTTCCGTCAACATTTGACATGTGTAGTATTCTGGATCCATGTATCCAATGCTTCCTTTTACTAACGTGCTTATGTTTATGTTCGATCTAGAAATACCCCTAGGTCCCATTTTAGATAGTCCAAAATCCGATATCTTGGCCATCTAGTTTTCATCTATTAAAATGTTTGTCAACTTGACGTCACGATGAATAATTGCATGCTTTGCCCCTTTATGTAGGTAATGCAGTCCTCGAGCAGCACCCAGGCAAATCTCTAGCCTTTGATTCCAAGAAAGTGGTTGGTTTTCAGAATCATAAAGATACTCACGGAAAGTCCCATGAGCCATGAACTCGTGGACAAGGATCATCTCATTGTTATTGTTGCAATAACCAATGAGAGATACTAAATGATGGTGACGAAGTTGAGAGAGCGTTTCAATCTCAGTTTCAAATTCTGAGTCCTTGTTGTGAACCTGGTTTGAGCCGTTTGGTGGCCACAGGGACTATTCCGTCATCATTATAACCTTTATATACATTACCAAACCCTCCAACTCCGACAATGAAAATATCATCGAAGTTATTTGTAGCTGCTCTTATTTCATCTATAGAAAAGTAGCGACACAAATAGGACGGTAATGATGATGAACCACGGGGTTTGTTTTTCTTGGACGAGTCTACTGATTTTTGTCCCCACCATGAAGATCCTTCCTTGACCGGAGCTCTAATAAATTGCCGAAAAATGAACATAACAATAAGAGACAGCACGATGAAGCCTGATGTTGCCCGAGCGATAATGGAAATTACCTTAGCTTTGTTTCTGTTCTTCGATGACTTGGAGGATGTTAGTGGGGGAGATAGAGGTGGATCAGGATTAGGGCCCACCAGATTGTCATTGTTATCACTTATTTTCAACATTTCAATACCATTTAATAAAACATCTCTGTAAGTGCTTCGAGCAGTTGGGTGTGGTTGCAACTTAATTGAAAGATTGAGCTTCTTCAAGCTTCCCTTGCCCTGCATCAACGTCGCATAGCCCCTATGCACAGGAACATTTCTCTGACTCTGAGTCCACAGCATTACATCGGCAACAGACTCCACCAAAGAATCATTTATGAAGATTTGGAAAACTCTGTCTCCAGTTTTTTCAATGTGTCCATCAAACTCGCAAGAATGCAATCTCACCATACAAGTAAATTCTGAGTCAACTTCAAATTCCCAAGTCACATTAAATTTAGACGTTTCTTTCATCCCATAGTTTCTGGCAGTCAGGTATACTTCACCTGGTGCAGTATAATTTGTATAGTTTGTGTGATCTACCTCTAAACCAAAATCTGCGGATACACCATGTGTGCACTCCCTCTCCAAGTAGGCATCATCCTGGTCCCAATAACGAAACATGCCAGTATCTTTTTCGGGAGGGATATGACTCCCGCCAACATTGATTCTGTACATAGTCTCGAGAGCTTTATTATTTTTGACTGGATACTGCTGGCTTCCACCATCTAGCCTCATCCCCTGCAGGTCGTCTGGGCTTGTGTAATAAAGAAAGGTGGGCATAGAAATGACCTCGATCCCATTGATGAAAGCATAGGCGTGATTGTTAAGCTAAGGTTCTCATCGGGAGAAACATTGACGCAGTATTCCCGCAAGATGGTTTCTTGGCCGGCGTTGTCGGCCGCGAACGAAGCGTTGAAGTCTTTCAAAAGAGTGTGAGATCCTGCTCTGATGGAGAAGAGAGAGTCGGAGCGAAGGAAGTTGACGGCATAGGAAGATGGGTAAAAGTAGAGGTGAATGAACATTTGGCCGTCGGTCACCGGAAATGAGTAGGAGAATTCGGAGCGAGAGAGGCGTGCGGTGCTGTAAGGGATTGCTTTACCAGCCGGAGCTTTGGCGCCGACGGAGAGTTTGTTGTTGGAGTCTTCGATTGGAAAGAATTCTCTTTTGTCTATGTCTCCTGTCCACTCCCGGTTATCTATGGAAGGAGAATTGCCAGCGCTACCGCAGTTGACTGCGAAATGATCTTCAGGAGTGTAGGAGGTGATGCAGATAATGAAAAAGATTTGGAAGAGTAAGTAGAGAAACATAGCCATTGTGTTAGTCATACTGGAGACAACGTTCTCGTTCACGCTGCCCACCGCAACAAACGGCGAAGAAACGATCCTTGTGATCGAAAATCAATGTGGATCGAGAAGTTAGCTTTATCTTCTTTCCTGTTCACGCAGACCGTTTTATTATGATTATTTATTTAAAATAATTATTGCCACAATTACGTCAGATGCATATTTTGAATAGTCAAAAACTTGATTGGATAATGACATGTGTAGCTTGTAAATACTTTTGGTTCATGTGCAACCTCACAGAGAGGCAAATTGACAAATAAAAAGGTTGAAAATTATAATATTCTAGATCAAGCACTTAACATTTCAAAGTATTTTATAAATATAGTCAAATTGTAAAATGACAATAAATGTACTGGTAATAACAAGTCATTTATTAACAAATTATAAACCGGCAATAACAAGTGTTAAACAATCAAAGACAAAAAATATACTGGTAATGACAAGTTTGATAACTTTTTTTTCAAATCTAATACGAGGAGTATTTTAGTCATTTAACTATATTTGTAAAATACTATATTAGGCACAACTTTATTTCCTGAATTTTCAACTTAGAAATGATAATTTCAAGGTTTTTTTCCTGAAAATTTTTCTTGGAGAAATGAAAATAAAAGAAATCCAAAAATCACCACCAACCCTTCAAAAGAAAACAGAAGTTGCGGAGGAAAGACAACTCCGCGGAAGCGGTAAAGCCATCAAAAATCATTATCAACCTATAAATAGAGGAGAATGATTTATATACACTGCACACACTACACACTTATAGATTGTTATATACTACCTCCAATTTTTATTAGAAGAATTTGTTTATAATCTACAAATAAAATCTTATAATTAGGATCGAAAGTAGTACTTTAGGTATCTGGATATAGTTAAATTATTTTATAATTTGGCTAAATATTGAAAGGGAGAATTTGGCTCCTAAAAAGTTTCTCCGCCCCTAGCTTCTCAAAATGTAATTATTCCATGTAAAATTAAAATCAATAATAAAAATTGGAGTCATTTTTAACTGTATATATTCATTGCAATTTTCCCATATTTTATAAAGAAACATGTGAAAGGATAGATAGAGGCTCAACCTGCGGGAGAACCGAGGAATATGCAGAAAATAATTGTTATAACCTCTTGAGGATCATAATCTTTAATAACTGCAGAGTCACAAGCGAGCGACTCTGATTGTGTACCAATTTCGCATAAATAATTCAGAAACTGCTTCCTTATTCCTCTCATCGTCCTGAATTTTCTACTTCACACAATATATAATTGAAACCACAGGCGGACTCTAATTGTGTTTCACATCACATAACACCAGAAAGAGAGAGTGATAGAATGTGACAGAGACTTAGTGAAGGAGAAAAACTGGTGCTTAACTAATATGTACCTTGTTTTAAGTTTCAAAGTCTGTATCCACTCATTGAGTGAGTTCATGAACATTTAATTATTTTCTTCTTGTGAGAAATATTCAAGGTTCCTGACTTGGTTAGTTGGGTTTGCTAACGGTAAAGGGTTGAAAAGTAAAATTGAGATTAAATAAGTTAGTTGTACCCAGTTTTAAGAACTTGCAAGAGTCAAGTGGATTGTTGAAGACTGGACATAGACCAAGTCGGTGGCTCTGTAAATTAAATATTTAGTTTTCATCTTTCTTAAACTCTTCTTCATCTTATTTTGAATCTCATTTCTTGTACCACTCTATTCCACTTTTATATTGCTTCAATGTTTTCGGTTCAAAAATTTTTTTTTAAAAAAATTATGTGTCAGACTTATGCAGCACCAAACCCCATATACGGCGTTCCAGTAAGATTTGCAACAGTGGTGTTCAGATAAATAATGATCCAAAAGTGAGATTGGTTTGATTTGGGTGAAAACCTTTATTGCGCAGCAGAGTGCTATCCCAAGCCATTATGGTAATAGAAGAGGGCATAGTGATTGTGAATAAAGCCATTATGATATGAATTTGAAACATATCTGCATTCTTTCGGCTTCTTTTTTTTTTTTTGGTCTTTATTCTATGGGCATTTTTTTTTGGGCCAAATATTCTATTGGCATCGAAAGTTTGAAACTCCTATGTGTCCTTTATATGGACCATCTTTTAGAGATAATTGGGCTAGGCCTAAAATTATTAACACCCTAAAAGGACTTTTTAGTAAAATGAAAGTTTTTTATTACAGCTATGCATAGGTATTTTTTCATTGGTGATAGTCTTATTTAAGATACTGTTGAACACTAAATATAAACACATCGTGCAGTGCAGATTTGAACTTTGATTCATACTAAATGGAAAGTTGTTCGGCCCTATTTTTTATAAGTTTGCAAAAGCCCATTCTTCAAACTAATAATCCTCTCCCAAATGTTAGTTTTTGGGGAACGCCACAAGGACTACTTGCTTTTCCGTCGTCCATTCAGCAAATTTGAAAGACTGCTAGACGAAAAAAAGTTCATAGAGGAGGAATTCATTTTGATTTTGATCTCTATAATTTTGAATCATAACTTTTGGTTCTCAGAATTCTATAACGACTTTGTTTAAGTTAATGTCGTTCAGTATAAAACTTCCTAAAAACACAAGGATCAAAATCAAAAAACATTTGGTTTCTATACTTTTAATGAATTTTGATCTTAATCCCTATACTTAACAGTCTTAATGACATTAAATAAAAGTTAACGCTGTTAAACACGGGCCAAATCCTTATGAACCTATAGAGTTCAAAAATTATGATTTAAAACTGTAGGGATTAAAATCAATATTCAATCAGCACTAATAATAATATTAATTCATAAACTAATCTCCCTCTGCGGTATCGTGGAGGAAGTATTTAATAACCAAACTCATGTGGATTTAAAATGGCTACACAATTCTAATAAGTAACGCTAAAATATGATGTGGCTGCTAGCACCCAGTTCCATGAAACATGTGGTGCTTTGAACTGTCCACTAAAACCAATTCTTTTGGACGCATAAAGCGTCATACGTGGAAGTCATCTGCTTTTGTGCTCAACAACTTCATGGAAGATGCAAGTTGGAATTTTAGTGAATGATGCGACCCGAATTGACCATAAAAGTGTGTGCGTGCGCGTGTCTATTTTTTTCTTTTTATTTTCTTTAATGAAAAAGCAGTCCTGGTCTTACACAAAGTGGGAGAGAGAGAAATTGGACTCCATAAAGAAGAAGGCGATGTTTTCTTGTACAATAATGGTGCAGGCAATTAATAACTTGAAAATTGATGAACGACGAAGTGGTAAACGCAAAATTGTACGTACTTATTTACAAGTTTCATATCTACGTGTGTTTATTTAAAAGATTCAACTATACGTCCATCACCCATTGAATACTGATCCTTCTTCAACAATAATGTCCTCATTTAGAGTCCCACCAAGCTTTGTCTTCACCGCTTTGTTCACTGTCTCCATTAAATACTCTAGGCCTAACATCACATCACCCATCGATGGCCGTTCATTCCCATTTTTAGCGACGCATTTCAGTGCAATCTCAGTATATGCCTTTAAGCACTCCGGCATTATACTTTCTCTGATGAATGGATCCACTGTCTCATAAATGGCATTTTCATGAACATGTCTTTGAAACCAGTCTACAAGGTTTTGCCGCTCCCCGTCCACCGCACGGAGAATAGGAGGCCTCCCACATAATCCCTCTAACAACACCACTCCAAATGAAAACACGTCTGACTTATCCGTCAAGATTTGCAATGTGTAATATTCTGGATCCATATAACCAATGCTTCCTTTAACTAATGTGCTTATGTTAATGTTAGATCTAGAGATACCCCCAGGCCCCATTTTGGACAGTCCGAAATCCGAAATCTTGGCCATCCAATTCTCATCTATTAAGATGTTTGTCGACTTCACGTCGCGATGGATGATTGCTTGCTTTGCACCTGTATGTAGATAATGTAGTCCTCGCGCAGCACCAAGGCAAATCTCCAGCCTTTGATTCCAAGAAAGTGGTTGGTTTTCGGAATCGTAAAGATGCTCACGAAACGTCCCACGAGCCATGAACTCATAGACAAGGATCATCTCATTGTCATCATTGCAGTAACCAATGAGGGATACCAAATGATGGTGTCGAAGTTGAGAAAGCATTTCAATCTCAGTTTCAAACTCTTTAAGCCCTTGTTGTGAACCTTGTTTGAGCCGTTTGATTGCCACAGGAACTGAACCGTTCTCAATGTGGCCTTTGTAGACATTACCAAACCCTCCGACACCAATAATTAAACTATCATGAAAATTATTAGTGGCTGCTCTTACCTCGCTTATTGAGAAGTAACGACATAAATCGGATGGTAACAATGAGCAGGTATTTGCTTTTGACGTCGCCGATGATTTTGGTCCCCACTGTGAATTTTCTTGATTGGTTGCAGCTCTGGCCAATTGACAATAAGCCAGCAAAACGATGAGAGATAGCAGAATGAAGCCGGAAGTTGACCCCACAACTATGGAAGTGAGTCTCATTTTTTGTGGGTTCTTGTTAGGAGCCTTCGGAAGCAATGGGGGAGAAAGAGCTTGATAGGGATTGGAACCCGCGAGGCTGTTTCTGAAGTCACTTACTTTAAGAATTTCAATACCATTCAATAAAACATCTCTGTAGCTGCTTCTCGCGGTTGGGTGTGGTTGCAACTTAATTGAAAGATTCAGCTTCTTCAAGCTTCCCTTGCCCTGCATCGACGCCGCATAGTCCCTATGCACGGGAACATTCCTCTGACTCTGAGTCCACAACATCACATCGGCGACAGGCTCCACCAAAGCATCATTTATGAAGATTTGGAAAACCCTGTCTCCAGCTTTTTCAATGTGTTCATCAAACTCGCAAAAATGCAATCTCACCATATAAGTAAATCCTAAGTCAACTTCAAATTCCCAAGTCACGTTAAATATGGACGTTTCTTTCATCCCATAGTTTCTGGCAGTCATGTATACTTCATCAGGTGCAAAATAATTTTGATCATCTCTGTAAATTGGATGTAAACCAAAGCCTGCTGAAATACTTTGCAGTCGCTCCCTCTCCAAGTAGTCATTATCCTGGTCCCAATAACGATACATGCCTGTATCTTTTTCGGTCGGGATTTGACTCCCACCAACATTGATTCTGTACACAGTCTCCAGAGCTTTATTATTTTCGATCTCATACTGTTGGGTTCCACCATTTAGCATCATTGCCTGCAGGTTGCCTGGGTTTGTGTAATAAAGAAAGGTGGGCATAGAGACAACCTCAATGCCATTGACGAAAGCATAGGCATTTTGATGAGATGGGCTGGGCGTGAAGGTTATCATAAGCCCCTCACTGGGGTCATAAATATTGACACAGTACTCTCGTAAAATGGTTTCTTTCCGAGCCTCATCGGCGGTGACTGAAGCATTGAAGTCTTTCAACAGAGTGTGAGATCCAACTATGACGGAGAAGAACGAGTCGGAGCGAAGGAAGTTGGGGTCGTAGGAAAATGGGTAAAAATGAAGGCGAATAAACTTGTGGCCGTGGGTCTTCAATGGAAACAAGTAGGAGATTTCAGAGCAAGAGACACGCGCGGTATCGTAAGGGGTTGTTTTGAAAGGTGCCTTGGCACTTACCGATGAGTCTTTGCTATCGGGGAATTTGATCGGAGAGAATTTTTCTGAGTCATTATCTCCGGTCCAGCTCCGGCCAACTAAAGAAGGAGAATTGTCGGAGCTACCGCAATTGACTGCAAAATTATCATCAGGAGTGTAGGAAATGACGCAGATAGTGAAAACCAGGATTCTGAAGAGTAAGAGGAAAAGCATGGCCTTTGTTGGTGAGTTAGTCATACTGAAGAGAACGTTCTCGTTCAAGCCACCCACAGCAGTTACAGCGAAGAAGGCATCCTTGTAATCCAGAAACAAATACAAGGTTTGAAGATATAACTTCTTTCGAGGCTCCATGGTATCATAGTATCATTGGCTACGGTCACATGAATGGGTATTCTCCAATTGGATAATAACGTGTTGATTTTCAGCCGCAAAAGTCTACTCATAGGACGAAAAAGAAATGTTGACTCAAAAAAAAAACACACACACAGAAGTCTGCCCATTCAACAATGGCAACTGCCATTTCGAGAAAGGGAGGAAAAAAAAACAAAGCACAAAAATCATTATCAACTCTTCAAATGAAAATAAACAGTTGTGGAAGAAAGACACCTTGGCGGAAGCTGTAAATTAAAGCCTACCACTTGTTTTGGCCTAATTATAAAGCATGCGCTATTAATTCTTATTATCATTAATTAGCTTCATTTTTACCCGACACTATATACTAGTATATGTTATTTAAATTCTAAAATACGTATATTTTGTAACATAGTAAATTTTTATGCCAAGAATTCAATTAAATTTATAAATAAATATTTTTTAGAAAAAAGGTAATACCTGTTAAAATATAGGCAAATTTAATTAATCATGACTACGCGTGTGTGAATGTGTGTGTGTAATATTATAGAAACAAATACGGTGACATGATACAGAAGTCCCAAATCAACTAAATACTAAAGTGAGGGAGCTCTATGAGCCTATATATAGGAGGTGATATGTAAAGTTAAGAATAAGCCAAATAATTTTCAAACACATATGAGGCAATCTCAAAAAAGTCTCAATTTTGAGTTTGTAAACCATTAGATCAAGCTGAAATTTTGTCAGCTTGTTTGTGACATCCAACTCATCAATTTCAATAGTTGGATCGTTGATCTAATATTTGATATACAAGTTATTAGGTATGCTTTGAACTCATTTTTTCAGATTTTGTAGATAAAACACTGAATAATAAAATGTTGTTTTTAAATTCGTTCACTATTAGATCGAGTCACAATTTGAAGAATAGACTCGTGATAGATAAGAAATTAAATTTAACAGTCAAATTAATGATTTAACTTCTGTAGTGAAAATAATATAACTCGTATTAAATTTATTTGTTTAAGTTCTTTAAAGATAAAACATAAACTATAAATTGGGGATTTTCTATGTAGGTTATGAATTTAATTATTCTAATGATATAACGTAATAATTAAAGAATAATTTAAGAGAACCTAGGAATTGAATCTAAATCATCACACACACACATATTCTTATTCCACAACTTAGAAAAAATATCTTTCGAGCTAGAATTCTAAGTAATAGTTGAAGCTCTTAGAATGGGAGTTAGAGGCCAAAATTTTGTGAGTAACTTACTCTAATACTACAGAAGTTTAGTTGGTTGAAGTGATGTTGCTTGAAGTATTATGGGGGTGTTTGAAATCAGCAAAGAGCACTTTTAAAAAAATATTTTCACATAAATTGAGACAAAATTATTTTCATACACTTCATATACAATAAAATTATTTTTAAAATCATTGTTTGGTTTCTACCTAAACTCACCACGCATCGAATATATGCCAAATCTATTTATCTTTGGAGGTTTCACTATCTCCAAATCTATCACACTTCCAAGAAAGTGGCAGAGCACAAGTTTGATGCAATGTATTGAAAAACGAGTGGCGATGAATATTTCGAATTTGAGATTATCCGAAGAAGAGAACGTAATACCCAGGGATGTCTAGATCTTCCATATGGACGAAGGTGACCGATTAAATTGATATTGCTTGACGAATTCCATGGAATGCCAAACTTGAAGGCAAAGGGCTCTATCGAGGAATGGGACAAACGTGGAACAATATGTGAAGTAGCTTAGAGCCTGTTTCGATTCATCATGGAAGAAAATGAACTTCTAGGAAAAAGCCACGCAAAAGTTAAGATAATTAATTTTTATTTTATCTGACTTTTTCAAACATGAATTAGGGTAAAAATCAATTATTATAATGTGATTTATATTTGAATTGACTTTTATAAAAGCCACAAAAAAGTTAGGATGTATTTGGACTAGTGATGCCATTTAATTTTTCAATAAGGGATTTATCTCCAATTTTCTCAATAAAAAATTTGATATGCATAAATATTTTCTAAATGAGCGCTCATTAAAGTTTATATATTATTTTTATGATTAAAATATGAATATTTTTATCCATTTTAATTAAATCATATTATATTGCACAAGGAAATGCAAAGAGATTGAGGGTTTGTTTTTCAATCATATTAACATTTTTTTAAGTTACAGAGATGCCATGTCATCCTTGTAAATCTTACGGGACAATTTTTGTTGATAACTTAATCAAAATTAACCACAGAGGGGTTTAATGTCTATAATTCATAGTATTGAAAACCGGACCGGCGTCTGAACCAGTCCAAATAGTGAGTCAGGAGTTAGTAAGTCAAATCGGAGTCAAATTAGGAGTGAAACTAGTAAGAAATAAAAAAAATTGAAAATTAATTCAAATTCTCATCATGCCATTCAAAAAACTAAATATCAATTTAATACTTAGAATTTCTAACAAAATAATTATATACTTATATTTTCTTTCTATTTTTCCTACAATTGACACATTGACATCATAGTATCATATTATTAAAATCACTAAATATTCATTCAAGCAAAATATCAAAATAGATTTATGGCAACAAAATATTCCTATATACAATTCTTTAGTCCCTAATTAATAATTTTTTAGCATTAAAAGGATTTTAAAAAAATAACCGGGTTAACCTATCAAGCCGGTCAGGTTAGCCGGGTTTCTCCTAGGTTGACTGGGTTACAGCGGGTCACACCGGGTTGACCCATCTACTGGTTTTTGCAGCCGACCAGATCCACCAGGTGACTAGTTTCCTGTCCAGCTTGGCTTGTCTAGTCCGGTTTTTAATAATATGCTAAAATTAAAAGTCAAGAAGATTATATGCAACTGACCTGAAATTCAGGAGAGTTTTATATATTTTAACAGCTAAAGTATATATTTGGTCCTTTAACTTTGTACAAAATTTTAGTTTGGTCCTTTTACTTTGAACAGTATATTTTTAATCCTTTAATCCTAACATTTTTTTAAAAAAATGATGACATCTATTACTATTATAAGGGAGGGGTCTCCGCAAGGATATTTAGAAGTGCGACAAGTGGTGCAACGAGGAGGGAGATAAATACCTTAATTTTTTTAAACTGTTTTTAAATAATAAGTCCTCTCTTTTACAATTTAATAAATTAGTTAATATTTGTTTGTAAACTGCAAATTTCAATTACCCCACGTTGTTCCTAAATATTTTGATTTGGCTAGGCTTTTCCGAAAATTGTGACTGTTGACAACTTAAAAAAATTGATTTAGCGTGTTTTATTTTGGCAGTTTCCACTTTGCATATTTTTTGGTTTTCAAATTTTGTTCTAATATTAAAAGTAGAGTACAAAGTATTTTAATTTATAGATTATTTTTGGGACAATCTAAATATGTTTAGATTTTGCAGTTGTCTCCGATGAGCATGTCTAGCATTATATTTGAAACCTATCTATCTACCTATCTATCTATCTACTAATCTATTAATCTATTAAAAATATAGTACAAAGTAGTAGTTACTGGCTGCCCGACAAATGGCGTCACCAATGTGCAAATAAATGGTCCTCATTTTTAAATTTTTGTAAAAGCCGCATTCTACTCATTTCCCCCTATTTATGCATTTACATTTCTACCCATGTTATCCTATTCATGTGTTTTTATTTTTTATTTTAGGCAAATTATTTATCAAAAAAAGGTACTTATAGAATTTAAAATTTAAAACATGATCTAACTCACAATTATTTGATAGTTGGTTACAAAGCAAGAGTTGGTTGCAGGCCAACATGTGAATTTTGATCACTAGAACACATTATTCCGAATCTTACAACTCTGTTATGTGCATTTTTTTTTAATTCCAATTAAGAAATATTTCTAGTTTGAAATTAAATTCAATAATCTCAACAAAAAAAAGGCTCTTAATCTTTCAAATTTTAAATTAAAATTAATAGTTCATAAAAAGTGGTTCTTCGTCCCCCAATTAAATCATTTTGAATTTACAAATATATTTATAAAATTAAAAAAATAATTGAATAGACTTATATACCCATGTTGTTACGTTTTTGGGAGAAATTTTCTGAGATTGGCTAGTTTTTTAGATTTCAAATCAATATTTCATATTTTAAATTCAAATTAATATAAATCTTTAAAATGGAAATGAAGTTTTACAACATTCAGCTTCATCAACAATCAATAATCTTCTATAGCATGCCACGTGGCAGGTTGTAATCTTAGATAAATAGAGGATCTTTTAATTAGAAAAATAAAATAGGAAAAATGAAAATAAGAGCAATTCCTGCTGTTATTCCATATCTTGAGGCTTTGTTTGCACAAATTTTTTAATTGAAAGTGAAAATTGGGAGGAATTTCTAATGTTGTGATTTTTGATCATGGCACCCACATTGCTTCGTATTCAAATTTTCTAATTTCAAATTATTATATCATATTTTAAATAAAATTTAATTAATAATTCAAATTTTAAATTTAAATTAATATTTTAATTTTTCAATTAAAATTAACATTTCACAGACAGTGGCTATTGTTTGGATTAATTAATGGGTTAAAATAAAATTTCAGCGGCTGTTGTTCATGAGTACATGTCAACCAGACCTTCCCAATTTGCATACTTTTTGGTTTTCAAATTTTGTATTTGGCAATTATATTGTGGCAGTTTCCACTTTGTTGTAAGGTTTGCAGCAATCAACTTTTTTGACAGTAACAGCCCATGGTCATAGGTGTGAGTTCAATGACAGTTGCAGGTAGTGGGGTTGATTATGCATGTGAGTTTGTGGCTATATATATGTGTGGTGGCTGTAAGCAGCCGGTTTAAGGTAATTTTTTAGGCAATTCGCTCAGTCTCCACCTCTCCAATTTTATGTTGTCAACAATGAAAGCACCAAATTTTCGTTCC